CGGCGTCAATTGGGGAGTGAGACCAGCGTCGTCCTCGCCATCGCGGTCGCGTTGAATCGTTGAGTGTTGGCATAGGTCCAAAGCCGACACCGGACCGGGCTTCAAACGATTGCCAAGTTGAAGCGCTGGTCAGAGCGAAAGCTCACGCGTACCAGTCGTCCCAGCGGGCCCGGTTGTATAGCTGTTGAGGTCGCGCAAGTAGTTCTCTGAGGTCACGCACGTCCTTCGCGTAGTGCCACGCCCTACAGGCCGGATCCCAAGCACGCACTCGTAGTTGCGACGCCTGGAATGCGAGAAAAATGTTCCGACACGAGGCTGATTGGCCATAGTTCTCGAGGAGCCTCAACATGTCGCCTGGCGACTGGCGAGCTCACGCATGAGGGCCTTTGTGGGTGACCTTTAGTCCGTCTTCCCCCGTCGCCAGGATGCTAGCTGGGACTGTCTCCAATTGTCCGACGTACCCGAGCGTGGATACAGAAAATGTATTGTAGGCCACAGTGTGATAGTGCATGTCCATGCCGTGGTTTGCCCACGCCCTGCCACGTTGTAGATACTTCTTGCCGGGCTCCCCCCAGGACTGCGAAACCTTGCCCGGTCAGACGAAAAATCCCAAGTTTTTCCCACACTCAGCGAGCGGCATGTTCGACCATCCTGGAAAACGTGCTCCCGCTTCTCTCTGAATTCCTCCAACGTGCCCGTGCCCAAAGAAATCGTGATGCCTTTGTGAGGCTACGTCGTAGGCCTGAAACCGCGCCAAAATCTTCGAAGATGTGGGGGGCACACCCTCACACAGCACAATCTCTCACCAATGTGTGGGGGCGCTCACCAATGTGTGGGGGCGCTCACCCTCAATGCGGCCGAGAAGCACCTCCGCAACCGTGGCGCACAGCATCGGGGAAAGCGGGCAACCTTGTCACACTCCAGATTCGATGGGGAAGCCAGCAGCCTCGACACAGCCGTGCCGACCTTGGCAATACGACTATACACAATGCCCTAATGAGGTTCATGGCGCGATCCAGGACACAAATTGCAGCCAAGGTAGAGAACACAAACTGCTGAGAAATGGAAAGACATGGTGATGCGAAGTCCATCAGCCAGCACGCCTCGCTCTCGTGGGTGGTAGAGGTGATCATGCTGGCAGTTTCCCCGTCTAGAAGATTTATCATAATGCTGCGGCCCTGTAGAACGCCCTGCTGCTGGGTAAGATCCACCTCGCCAAATGCTCCTCCCAACGATTGCACGAAGCACTGGCAACAATGCGAATGTCCGTGCTGACGACGTTCAACGGGCGGGGTGTTGGACGGAGTGTAACTCTTGATGCCTTCCGGTGTGCCTCCTGTGCTCTTATTGGCTAAGCACGCGAGAATCTTCTCGTTGTAGCGGTGTGCCTGGGCATCAGGTTCGTCAAAATATGCGGCACGAAGTTCTTCCGATCCTTGTGGCCGCTCCAAGCTAAGTGAAACTTCGTGCAAGATGGAGATCCCCAGTGGCTCGAGCGCACGCCAGGCTTTGACTGGGATGCCATCCGGGCCTGGTGCGGAGTTGCCACTGCGATGACCGAGTAGCTTTCTCCACACCTTTCCTGCGTATTCGCCAGGTGCTGGCCAGCGGTCGGTGGGGGGTGTCGCTCCTGCCGCGGCCTCGCACGAGGGCCGCTGGAAGGAAGAGCACCCGTCGGCAGTGCGGGCTGGCCCTGGCCGCGAGCCCCTGGCGTCTGCGCAGATCGGGTCCTCGAGTGCACGTCCCGGAGACACTTCGCCAGCAGGTGATGGTTGATTGGCTTCTTTCTGAAAGTACGTGCCCAATACGCCCTCAGCTCCCGCGCAGTGGACGCGGGGTCCGTGGCGAAATCCCCATTCGAACACTCGACCGTCCCGATGCTGGTAGCCGTGCCCGGCAGGCGTCGCTTGAACTGGCCGAATATGCTGTTATTGCGGATCGTGGCTTTGAAATCGGTGTTTCCCTCTTCGTGCTGCCGTAGTAAGTCGGGTAGATCATCCGTGATACCCTGCCGTGCTCGAAAGCCCACATGGTCTTGGAGTGCGCGAAAGCCTTCGGTGAAGCAGGTGTTGGGTTCCTTTGGGTCTACTTATGTGCGGGTACTCCAAGCACTTGCGACACATCTTGGGTAAGTTTACGTCCTGGGCGGCCCTGATGAAGCTGAGCACGCAGCTGAGCCTGTCGTCGTTGGATGTGGCGGACTGCGTGCATCGCCCGTTGAACTGATACCAGCCTGCGACTTGGATTGCCGAAATCCTAGGGGGCAGTGGATATGCGATCCAGCTCCGCCGCAACTCGCCGCGGCCAATCGGGGTGGTTGATGGTGCTGGAGGGGATGCTGGAGTGCATGCGGTGGGTCGTGCTGTCAGTGTCGTTGTCGTAGGCCGTGGGATCGTCGACGAGGTGCGCGGCATTTCTACTGCCCCCCAAGGCGCTTTCGGTTGAACGACAACGGAGCATGGGACGAGAGGCCCGGGACGCTCGACAGAGCAAAGCATGCGACCTGATGGTCAAGTTGCTCCGACGGGTGGTGATTGGAATATACCCGATCAATGCGTGACGTGGCAATGCCTGAAAAGTAAGTATGACCTGCCTGATGTAGTTCGTGTAAGCCCGCCGGGCGAAATACAAGCTCACCAGCCTGGGCAGCTTCCTGTTCGTCTTTCCCTCCAGTCCAGCATTTGCCTGCGCAGCACCACCAGTCTTGAGGGTAAGCCGCGTACTTCCAGTCACCAGCAACAGTGGAAAGGGTGGAGCTGGGTAGGGCCAGATGCTGCTTTAGAAGTGCGTGAGATCGACGTCGGGCTTGAAGGTCGAGTGCCAGGACTTCGACAGTCGTCAAGTAGACGGCCCAAATGTCCAAGTTCCCGTCGGGGCCTTGGAGTCGGAGCCGCGCGGCACGGCTGGGTTCCAGCTCAACGAAATCGCCTTCCTGAATCGTGGCAAACTTGGCCAGAAAAGTCTTTGGGAGTAAAATCCCCACTCCGGCCCTGCTGCCTGAGGGGTGAGACCAGTGAGCGGCGCAGCCTGTTGGAAGAGAGAAGGCCTGTTCCTTGTCCTTCGTGCCGTGCGTTTCCACGAAGATGCCAAAATCGTGCGAGGACATGAATTTCGCCACGTGGTTGCACTTAGCAGCCTGCCTGGTGATCTTCGACGCGATGAGCGCCTCGCAGTTCCTCGAGCACCCCTTGCAATTCCCCGTGTAGGGTCTCCCAATGGTGGACGCCAGAGGCTGAAGGTTGGAATGCTGAGCTGGTGGAGGCTGGAGGTCGATAGGTGAAGGGGGGAGAAGTAAGTCGGAAGCTGGAGGCTGGAGCTGGATGGGTGGTGGCGACGGGGTCGATAGGTGGACATGGAAGTGGGAACTCGGGGGCTTGAGGCTGGGGGTCGGAGTGGTGAGCTGGTGGAGGCTAGAGGTCGTTGGGAGGAGGTGGAGGTTGGATGTCGGCTGCAGGAGGTCGGAGGGCGCTGTGCTGAGCTGGTGGGGGCTGGCAGTCGATGCGTGGACGGTGAGGCGGATGGTCCGATGCCGCAGGTTGGAGTGTAGAGCTGGTGTCGGCTGGAAGTCCATAGGTGGACATGGAAGTGGGAAGTCGGATGCTGGTGGCTGAAGGTCGGGGTGCCGAGCTGGTGGAGGCTGGAGGTCGATGGGCGGGGGTGGGAATACGACGTCGGCTGGAGGCTTGGCGACATGCAGAAGAACGCGCTCTTTTCTGCGCCTGGCCGTCTGTGTCGCAAGAGCGCATGCTCGCACCGTCGCGAGCGACGTGATGAGCAGTCTTCCGTCGTTTGCGTCTGTCGCTGTCAATGATTGGCTGAAGATCGTGATCGTCTGTCGGCTCGGGAGTCGACGTAGTTGGGCGTGGGAGAGCGGGAAGGGAGAGGATGATGATGTCCGCGTCCACTTCATCCTCGTCCGAAAAGGGCGCGCCGTCGTCCTCATCCTATTGCGTTTCCTCGTCATCCTCATCATCCGAATCGTCATCATCGTCCGCATGCTTCTCCTCATCATTATCAAGGTTGTCGTCGTCGTCACTATCATGAACACCAGCATCAGCATCGACAGCTGCATCATCATCAGCAGCATCAGTATCGCCGTCGACCTCGTCATCATCAGAGTCTGATCGTCATTATCACAATCATCATCAGCATCCTCATCGTCATCAACATTATCATCATCCATATCATCTGTATCATCATTATTATTATCATCATCGATATAATCATCAGCAGCATCAGCATCCTCATCATCATCATCATCACCACCACCACCACAATCGTCATCACCATCACCAGAAGCATCACCATCATAAGAATCCCCATCATCATCAGTAGCATCAACAGCATCATCATCATCATCATCATCAGCAGCAGCAGCAGCAGCAGCATCAGCATCGGTATCAGCATCAGCATCAGCATCACCATCATCATCATCAGCAGCAGCAGCAGCTTCATCCCCCGATCGTCATGAGCGGGAGAGAAGATGAAAAGCAGCAGCAGCAGCAGCGACAGTGACGAAGGGGGAGGGGCTGGGAAAAGGGGATGGAGGCGGACGTGAAGGCAGGCAGCGGAAGTGGCAGGGAAGAGGGAGGAAGGAGGAGGGGGAGAATGTAGGAGGGAAACGGAGAGCGAGGATGGCTGTTGGCCCTCATCTGTTTGGGTTCTCCTCTCCCGCACTTGTCCTCCTCCTCCTCCTCCTCCTCCTCATCATCATCATCATCATCAGCATCCTCCTCATCATCATCATCAGCAGCAGCAGCATCGTCATCATCATCATCAGCATCATCATCATCAGCATCAGCACCATCAGCACCATCATCATCGTCATCGTCATCGTCATCATCATCGTCATCGTCATCATCATCATCAGCACCATCATCATCATCCTCATCCTCATCCTCATCCTCATCCTCATCCTCACCCTCATCCTCATCCTCACCCCTGCCTCGCCCCCTCCCTCCCTGCCTCCCTCCCTCCCTCCCTCCTCCTCGCTCCCGCGCCTGCTGGCCCCGCAGCGGCCGCCCGGGAGCCCGCACCCTGCTCCGAGCCCGCCTCGGCACGCCGCCGAGCGCGACGGCACGCCGCCGAGCGCGACGGCACGCGGAGAGGGGCAGGGGAACCCGTGGCGGCCCCACCGCGCCCTCTGTCTCCCGGGGGAAGCCTGGCCGAGGCTGCCGGCCCCGCTCTTCGGCGGCGCGCACGAGGGGCGTGGGGGGAGGGGGGAGGGCCTCTTAGAAGCAGGCTGCTTCTTATAGAAGGCGCCGGCCTTCCACCTACAGAGATGAGGCCCGCGCCCTCTAAGAGGCAGGGGTGCTTCTAAGAGAAGCCCTCCCCCCTCCCCCCACCCCCCTTCTGCGCGCGGCCGAGCTCTGCCCCGCGGGCGGGCACCGAGGCGGCCGACCACGGGCCATCTCCACGGCAAGGGGTGCGGCAGGGTCGCGCCGTGCCGGCTTCGGCCCCGGTTTCGGCCACCGCGGGGATCGTTCAACCCTGAACGAGCGGCCGTTCCCGACATGTCAGATCGCTCAGCATCGGCCGCTGCTGGGGTCGCCAGCTGCGTTCGACGTCGAACGCCGGCGGCAGGGTCGCCGCTGCTCGACACGACGCGAACCCACCGTGCCAGGGAACCTTCGCCTTCTCCTTCACGGGCGATCGCACACCGCAGCACCATCAGGTGCGTACCCGATCAAACTGCACGGCATCAGTCTCAGGACATCCAGGCAGATGGAGAGGCTCGTGCCACCACATTGCACATCCGGCGCGGGGGGGGATAAGGGAGGGAGGGAGGGAGGAAGAGGATTGGGGTTCAGAATAACGTGCTCGTATTGCTGCATTGGCAGAATTGGCCCAGGTAGGGTGGACGGGCAAATGGGTTTTGTCACCCTTTCAAAACCGCCCTGCAGCTTCCTTCATCTCGCACTACATGGCACGCGCGCGAGAATACCGCGGCCACTCTAGTCCAGACGATCACTTCGAGGCCGAAGAGCGTCGCCAGCGATGAAGCGTTGGAGATCCGAATTAGACCAGGAGGGAGAGGAGGAGGAGGAGGAGAAGGAGGAGGAGGAGGAGGAGGAGGGCGAGGGCGAGGGCGAGGGCGCCGGGGGAGGAGGGCGAGGGCGAGGGGGAGACGGCGAGGGCGATGGGGAGGATGCGAGGGCGAGGGCGGGGGCGAGGACGGGAATACTCCTGCGTAGGTGTGGAGAGTCTTGGAGCCGTCGCCCTTTGACACCTCAGGCCTTCACGCCCAGGGCTTGCCTGAGAAAAGGGGCATCACTCTCGCCCTCCTCCTCTTGCTCCCTAGGAGGAGGAGGAGGAGGAGGAGGAGGAGAAGGAGGAGGAGGGAGGAGGGAGGAGGGAGGAGGGAGCTTCCAGAAGGCTTTAGAGACGCGATGTTCATGCGAGAGTGCTGCAGAGCTTTAGCTTGTGGCTTGCAGCCCCACTCCCATGTGATTTGGGTTCCCCCAGAGGGACTCGGGCACGAAACGTTTGGGTGTTGGTCCAAGGATGGTTCATCTCTCGCCCAATCAATGCAAGGCAAGGTGCTCGTGCACGGGAAGTGTCTCAAAGCACCCATAGAATAACCACGCAGGATACGGGGAATGCCAAAAATGGTCCAATCAGGTGACTTGTCGGTTCGCATGATAGTTTCGCACCTTCCTCTTGCATATCTGGCAAGTACATATTATACAGGTGGCGCCAGAAGAGCGGCAGTCAGTCAGAGAATACTGCAGCAGCAAATCCTCGTATGCTGATGTGAACATGAGGGTCAGAAGCTCCACACCAACAAGTTCAAGCTATCCAAAATAAAGGCCCATCAAGACATAGGCTCTTTTGAGTCTTGCACGGAGACCTGACTGGAAGCTGCAGGGAAAAAAACATGCCGACTTGGCCGCCAAGTGAAAGGCTGGTCAACATTGCGAGCCTGGCCCGGCGGAAGGAGAGGCCCGCCAGCAGCAAGTTATTAAGATGTTACAGCCGTGCCTGCGCTACACCACTAAAGTCTTAGTATTGCATCCTCCCCTGGCACCCAAAGGGAAGAAGAGCCTTCTCTGGACCCCAGCGAGCACCCGACAGGAAGGGAGGGAGCTCCGCCAGCGTGGACGACTCAGTCGCGGCCTTCCGACCTGTTGGCCCCGGCCCGAAGGACAGGGAAGGGCCCAGGAAGTGCACAATATGCAGCGCACACCCAGGGCCCCTCCCTTCCTCCCTCCATCCATCCCTCCTCCCTCCTCCTCTCTCCTCCCTCCTCCCTCCTCCTTCTCCTCCTCATCCTCCTCCTCCTCCCTCCTCCTCCTCCTCTTCCTCCTTCCCCTCCTCCTCCTCCTCCTCCTCCTCCTCCTCCCCCTCCTCCTCCTCCTCCTCATCCTCCTCCTCCTCCTGCTCCTCCTCCTCTTCCTTCTCCTCCTCCTCCTCCTCACCCCCCTCCCTCCGTAGCCGCCTATGAAACCATTGGCGGAATTCCAAGCGGAGCGTCAACAGCACCGCAAGCCCCACAATCATTTGTGAAGGTGAACAGACACGAGGCCACAATTGGAAGTGGATCAGGCCCAACTCCAGGGCATGAAAAGCTCATTACAGAAGGAGCCAAATAGAGCTCCCACCACACAACACAGCGCGCCCAGGACTCAACCCGATATTCCGGCTGTTGAGGCAAGCCTGCGAGGCCATTCCCGCGACAAAAATAAACTACATAAGTTTGGTCGGTATGTGGGCACATAAGCCAAAGACGGAGAGCAGAAGGGCTCTCTAGAGACTGCGAAAAGATCACATGCCCACATAACGAGAGCAACGAGGATATAATGTTCCAAAGAAAGCACCCCACTCCCTCCAAAGGAGAGTCTCAGGTGCTAAAGAGCTTATTCCTCTCGCCGGCCTGTTCGGGAAGTGCCGACTCACCCCGGACGCCCTGTTCAGCAGGAAATGTCAGGACTTCGTAAACAAGTATCGTCTCGCAAGAGCCGAGTAGGAGCTAAAGGTCAGAAATGCGAACGCTTATGCAAACCTATGCACGTTCACGACATGCCCAGCATTACCCGGGTGAGCCCAGTTTGGCCACTCTCAGGAGTCGCATCCTTGGTCCTGAGTGTTTTACCCCAGCAGGCCAAAATCCCAGTTAGCGCCAGACTTTACCCATGTCGGCGCAAGCCTAATTGGGGAGTCCTCCAGAACCGAATGTTCCATGGGCTCGGGCTCAGCAGACCAAGCGCAGCTGGGAGGTCGAAAGCGTCAGCATTCCGCTGCCCCCCCCTCTTCCATCTTCCCTCTGCCCTCTTCGCTCTAGGCTCTTCTCCTCTTCCCTCTTCCCTCTTCGCCTCCTTTCGGCCTCCCCTCTTCCCTCTTCTCCTGGACGCCGTCGTACTCCCGGCGGTAGGTCTGTGGGCGGCAAGAGGCTGCACTCGAGGGCAGCAAGGGCGATCCTCTGGGTTTCACTGCAGGCAGGCGGACTCGCACCTCATCGAAGCGTCATCCCAAATTCCTCCTCCTCCTCCTCCCAACTTCCTCCTCCTCCTCCTCCTCCTCCTCCTCCTCCTCCTCCTCATCATCATCATCATCATCATCATCATCATCATCATCACTATCATCATCAACATCGTCGTCATTATTCGAAACCACCACCACCAGCACCACCACCATCACCGTCATCATCAGCATCAGCATCATCATCATCGGCATCGTCGTCGTCAGCATCATCATCAGCAGCAGCAGCATCAGCATCGTCACCATCATCAGCATCAGCATCATCAGCAGCATCATCAGCAGCATCGTCATCAGCATCAGCATCATCATCATCATCAGCAGCAGCAGCATCAGCATCATCATCAGCCGTATTACCACCATCATCATCATCATCATCACCACCATCATCAGCATCATCAGCATCATCGCCATCGGCATCGTCATCGTCATCTTCGTCGTCGTCATCCTCATCCTCAGCAGCAGCATAAGCATGATCAGCATCATCATCATCATCAGCAGCAGCATCAGCAGCATCATCAACATCAGCATCATCGTCCTCAGCATCAGTATCATCAGCCACATCATCATCATCAGCATCGTCATAGTCATCATCATAATATCATCGTCATCATCTGCAGCATCACCATCAACATCATCATCAGCATCAGCATCATCATCATCATCAGCCCCATAACCACCACCATCATCATCATCATCATCACCATCATCATCATCAACATCATCGTCATCGTCATCGTCATCTTTGCCGTCGTCATCCTCATCCTCAGCAGCAGCATAAGCATCAGCATAATATTCCTCTTGATCATCCTCCTTCTCCGTCTCCTTCTCAGCAGTACGATAACCATCACCATTACCATAATCACCACCATCATCAGCATTAGCATCATCCCCATCCTGATCCTCATCCTTATCCTCGTCATCATCATCAGCATCATCATCAACATAATCAACATAATCATCAGCATCAGAATTCTCGTCATTAGCATCACCATCAACCACCTCATCATCCTCACCATCGCCATAATCAGAATCGCCATCACCACCATCACCAGCCTCGTCATCGTCATTATCATCAGCAGCAGCAGTAGCATCATCATCAGCAGCAGCATCATCATCGCCATCATCATCATCATCATCATCATCATCATCATCATCATCATCATCATCATCATCACCATCAACCGCAGAATCACAATTACGAGCATCATCATCATCATCATCATCATCATCACCACCACCACAACCACCATCATCATCATCATCAGCATCATCATCACCGTCATCCACCCTCGCCTGGCAGGCACTGGGCCTCAAGGACGAAACGAGGGAGTAGAGGGGAAGGGGTGGCCGTCCCTCTCCCCTCGCCGGCCGGGCCTCACTCCCCTCCCCCCTCCCCCACTCGCCTCCCCCGTCTTGCCTTCCCTCCCTGCCTCGCATCCCCTGCCCCCTTCTCCTCCTCCTCTTCCTCCTTCTCCTCGTCCTCCTCCTCCTTTTCCTCCTCCTTGCGAGGGAAAACAATGTTCACGTAAACGTTCTGAGGTCCGCGCGGGCTTCTTGCATCTGCGCTGAAACCCAATCTATGGAGCACAGAGCGCCCCAGGGTCACGCCGTCTTCTCTTCCTCGAACCATGAATTAATTCCCGACCCTTCCCCCGAGGCCAGTTCCCCATCCCGAAAAACTTGTTTTACGGTCCTGGGGGCCTGGCGAGGGACCCCAGAGGCCGAAAACAACCAAAAACCTCACGTCGTGATCTCTTCACGACGTGGGCATGTATGGGTGATTATCCCCCTCCTCCCTCCCTCCCCCCTCTTCCTCCTCCACCTCCTCATGCGGCTGCGGGTGAGACCGAGAACCCGTTCAATGACCAAACACACTGCTGAACAAAAACAGATACAAGAAGAATGAAAGGGACGGGCCGCTGAGGCGCCCACCAATCTCCTTCTCCTTCTCCCCCGCCTCCTCCTCCTACTCCTCGTCCTCATCATCATCCTCCTCTTCCTGCTCCTCCTCCTCGTCCTACTTCTCCTCCTGCTCCCTCTCTCCTCCTTCCTCCCTTGCTCGTTCCTCATCCTTCTGCTCTCCCGCCTCCACATCAATTTCTGAGGCCCTCGCCCCGCGGGCATGCGGCTGCGACCAGGGCACGGACATCGATGCGGGGTGGGGGGCCGCCCCGGCGGTCACAGGCGGCATGGAGCCATGCCCATGTCCTCGGCGACGACGACGACGCCGCCGCCGCCGACGACGACGACGACGACGGCGACGACGACGACGACGACGACGACGGCGGCGACGACGACGACGACGACGACGGCGGCGGCGGCGGCGACGACGGCGACAGCGACGACGACGGCGACGACGACGACGACGACGGCGGCGGCGGCGGCGACGACGACGGCGGCGGCGACGGCGGCGACGACGGCGACAGCGACGACGACGACGACGACGACGACGACGACAACGACGACGACGACGATGACGACGACGACGACGACGGCGGCGGCGCGGCGGCGACGACGACGGCGGCGGCGGCCGCGGCGACGACGACGGCGAAGACAGCGTGGACGACAGGTACGACGACGTGGACGAAGAGGGCGGAAGAGGGAGGAGGAGGAGGAGGAGGAGGAGGAGGAGGAGGAGGAGGAGGAGGAGGACGAGGAGGAGAAGGAGGAGGAGCAGGAGGAGCCCACGCCACTTGGGCGCATCCACCTCAGACAAGTGCACCTCTCGCCGCCCGCTGCCACGTCTGCACACTGGGAACTCTGCGAGTGCCCGGGGTTAGCCCAAAGGGCCCGTCATCTTCATCCAATCCAGGGCTGATGGAGGCCAGAGGGAAGCTTTGGCCTTCTCACTGGTAGCGGAGCTGGTATCTCCAGGCGTCTGAGGAGAGGCGCCAGCGTGAACGTGCCAGGAGGACCTGGCAGAGCGACACTTCCTGCCGAGAGAACTTGGCAGACGACAGACCGGCTATGATATCAGAAAACACGGACTGCGGGCTTCGGTGCTTCCATGGCGACGAAAACCAGGGTAGTCACCAGGAGCTCAAGAAGTGGACCAAGTGGACAAAGGCCGCAATGACCTGTCGGAAGCTAGAGGAAAAGCAGCGTGGACATTTCGTGTACACTCTCTTCCAGCGATCGGCTCTTGAGGCCGTTGACCACTTGGAGTTCGACGACTACGAGAAGAAGCAAGGAGACGTGGTGATCATTGATCTGCTCCTCAAGCGGTGGCCTGCCAAGGAGAACGTCCTGGGAGATCACCTTGAGGCGGTCTCCAGCTTGCACGGTACTGATGGTGAGGCTATCACATCGTAGCCCTGTCGAGCCGAGGTCAACGTGCAGTTCCCTCTGGAGGCCCTTTACACCGTTGCGGTTTCAGTCCCGACCAGCGCGCCATCGTGAAGGCGAAGGCGGCGAGGTACACGGCGGACAACATGGAGACGGCCATCCGAACAGTGTTCAGTGTTCCCGAGCTACAAAATATCCAACGTGCGCCGCACCGATGCCGGTGCGCTACTGGCCGATTCAGCTGAGAATTGTGATGAAGATTGGACTCATGAGGTGGACGCGCCACTCAGGGTGAGCCACGACACCGAGGATGACTTCGCAGACATCGAGGCACTATTAGTAGGACGAAACGATGAAGGCGACGACGTCACCACCAGCACGGAGACGTTCGAGGTGGCTGATGTGATCGAGGTACTGGTGGTCACGTGGAAGGACAAGCAGAAGGAGAACACCGACGCCCGCAAGACTCAGAACTTCCAGAACGCCGACAGATTGCAACAGGATTCCCGTCGTGAGCTGGACGGTGCCAAGCGTAAGACATGCTGTCATAGGTAGAATGAGGTCGGACATTGGTCGCGTGACTGTCCCAAGAAAGGCCAGGGCAAGGGCCGCGAAAAGTTCCATCCCAGGGCGCCTTAGTCCTGGAAGGTCACGGAGTTCACGAGGCCCGTGTGGCCTCAGTGCTTGAGCAGCTACGCGATCGACGGCGACAACGAGACCAGGTGATCATCATTCATGACCGATGGCGACGACACCGTGGTGGAGATCATGTTCGCTTGTCCAGTCGGAAAGAGTTGTGGACCCAGGCTGCGGCAGGAATCTCATCGGCGGGAATATCCTGACCAAGCTGAAGCAGTTGCTGGAGCAGGAGAACCTTGAGTTGCAGTGCAACGATGAGGAGAACGTGTTTCGGTTCGGGAACAGTGGGCGCGAGGTGACATCTCGTGCGGTGAAAGGAAAGCGTGACACATCACGGCCGCCGTGGTGAAAGGTAACGTACCCCTCCTGCTCAGCAAGCCGCTACTGAAGGCACTAGGGGCCAAGATGGACTTCACGACGAACACAATCACGTTCCGCGACCTGGATCAAACCATCGAGCTTGAGGAGACCGAGTCCTGCAACTGCATCATGCACATCATACATCATGCACGAACCAGGACGTCCCCGCTATCGCAGAAATCGGGTTCCCAGAAGAGTTTCAGAGGATTTCGGGAACGTCCGATTCCGTAACGATGTTTCAGTGCTCAAAAGTTATGTGCGCGCTCCCCATGTCGAACTGAAGTTTGATTAGGCTCGTGAACGAGCCCTCGGCCCACTTGTGCCCCGAGGGAAGAGTTGACGTGACTCGTTCCCAAGAACGACACGATATTGGTAGTACGGAGCTTGATTGATGTGTTTCTGACTCGGGATGGCTTCATCGAGTACGGGCCACAGCTGGAACGTTCAGAATGTTCCCACGTGGGATGGCAGAGCCAAGACCCTTGACGAGCACCGGGCGGAAGTGGAACCACTGACGCTGGCGAAGATGATAGGAAGTTGCTCGGTCCTCGTCTGGTGCAAGCTTTGCCCAAGAACACCGCGCACAGAAAGCTGGCACTGCGATTACCACGCGTAGAGGACGAGCCAGACGCGGTCGTTGGAGAAAAGGGCCCTGAGAAATTGGTGAAGGCTTTCCAGAAAAGCTTGGGCAAGCAGGCCTCGAGAGATGTGGTGGGCAAGGTGTGGCATCATCTTTCTTGTGAATGCGAACCTGGACCCGAGTGGGAGAGCCAGTGGTGGCAGGACTGCACGACTGCAAGATCGAGCCAGTCATTGAGAAGCTGAAGTACGTGTGGTCTGACAAGGACTTGACTGCCAGAGACAACATAGTATCACGAAGAAGGGAATTGAGGTTTCAGAACAATCGTGAAGCTTGCAGGGATCGTGCCCAGGCGAATTACCATGATGACGACGAAGAGGAGGAGCCAACCTACTGCGAGGAGGAACACACCGAGCAGGAGGAGGGAGATGCGAGCTACGAGGAGGAGGTCACGAAAGAGGAGCTCGAGGCGTGAGAGGCCTGCGCCGAGGACGCAGAGGCCTTCGCCCAGGACGCGCAGCGCACGCTCGCGGAGGCGAAGAGGAGGCTCGCAGCGGGGGCGAAGACCAGGAGTGGCTGCTTCCCCGGTGATCGGGATCGGGCAGCTGCCGGAGAAGCAGATCAAGGATCGGAAGGCAGCGGCCGCAGCAACGTCGGCGCTGCGGCCACCTGGACCTCCAGGGACCTCGAGGTGGTGAGCGCCGATTCCCTGCGCACCTCCGCAGCCTGCCGCAGGCGGTCGGCGCCCGGGCAAGGGCAGGGGCGGAGGGATCGAGCGCCTGATCTGCCAAGGACCGCACAGAGCAGCAGAGTGCCCGAAGAGGGGTCAAACAGGCAACGACGGCAACAACAGTTTGCTCTGTAAGAACGGTTTTTTGAGGGCAGATCTGCCTTCAAAAAATGGTCTACTCTGTAAGAACGGTTTTTTGAAGGCAGATCTGCCTTCAAAAAACCGTTCTTACTTTGAAGGCAGATCTGCCTTCAAAAAACCGTTCTTACATTGCGAATCAGGAGGCCGTGGACGCGACCGAGGCCGACGACACCAGCTGCAGCAACGAGGGCCGCCTACCTGAGGAGAGTCAGGCTGGATGTGATCATGAGGAGATGGTTGGCTACGCCATCATTGACACGGGAGCCTGGAAGAGTATGATCGGAATGGACCTCGCCATGGCCATCCAGGACATGGTCATCGAGGACACGGGCGAGGACCAGGTCGAGATGGCCAGAAGACCAGATTCATCACGTACGCGGGCGGCGAGAAGGGCATGTCGATCGGTAAGTTCGGGTTCGAGCATCCGGTGGGCCTCGTCGAAGACAACAACAAGCTGTGGTTCGACTTAATTAGTAGTGGAGACGAAGTCGCCCATGCTCCTGGGCCTGGACTACGTGGAGAAGGCTGGAGCTGATCTCATCAAGGACAGGTCGGCGCTGGTCTACGCGGACGGGAACGAGGAGCCCGTGGTGCAGTTGTCGAGCTCTCACTACGCACTTTCTGTGCTGTGGGGGGTCCCAGCCAGAGGTCGAGACAACGCCTCTGGATTGAGAAGAGCAAAGTGTTGTCATACCGCTATCGTGGCCAAAAATCGTCCATTCGGAAGGTCATTCCTGGAATCTACGAGTCAGAAGAGCACGGAACGTACGCTCAGGAATTAGAAAGCCATTGCAATTATCCGAAAAGTCCAAGACATCAAAAGATGGAAGCACGCAAAGAAAATGGAAAACATGCGAGCACACGTGAGACATGATCACTACCATGTATCACGTACACCACATGTACGAGATAGACCATGTCATGAAAATCAGCGACGACCTGCACAAGACAGAGTAGGGGTACGATATTGGCCGCATCATGAACATCTGCGACCACACGTACGAAAGAGAGTATGTGCCGAAGTACAGCTACCATGTGTTCCATGTGAAGTGTGTGTGTGTGTGTATGAACGCGCATGTGTGTACACGTCGTTCATTTCTACTCGTGCTCATTTCTAATTGTGCTCGTTTCTAATGGTTCCTGGCCCCCCAGTGGCCAGGAAGAGGCCCAGGACAGAACAATTAGAAATGGAAGGATCTTGGCCCAACAAAATCAAGGAATGTTCGAAGAATTACACATGAATGTTCGGCTGCGCCTGCTGCAGCGGACAGCCCAGCGGACCTCCTGCGAGGACCCGGGGAGCCGGGCCACGGAGCCGTGCGCGGTGACCGACCCGGACACCAACGAGGAGCAGAGGGAGGCATCGGCCGGGCGGGCAGCTCGAGGCGGTCTGCTGGCGGAGGCAGCGCGCCGAGCACGAGCGGGAAGGCTCCCGCAGTGCTGGCACTACAGCCGGGGCCTTGACCCAAGGAACCCAAAATAAGGAACGAGGCCCCTTTTTTCCATAAGTTAAACTTCGATTTCCGATCGAAAGCACAAGGAAAAGCTGAGGCAAGCTGTGAAACACTGAAGGAACGCGGAGCCCCTCCCCAACGAAAAGGGTTCCTTCTTCAGGGCCCCGACTGTGCAGGCTCGCCGAGGCGGAGATCGCCCGATCCAAGGGTCAAGGCACGAGCCTGCAGGCGGACGCCGAGATCGGGGAGGTGCCGACGGTAGCTCGGAGCCTCAACGAGCCGATAGGCCCATCAACATTCAAAATACCAGCGAGCACCGTCTTCAACAAGACGCTGCCGACGCACGAGAAGGCCAACCTCAAGTCGGAAGTCACTTCGAGTTCGACGAGGACCAAGTCGGGAGCCCGCGTGACCAGCCGATCCAAGGACAAGGATCCCAAGAAGTACCCCGAGAAGGACACGGCGCAGCAGGGCCTCAGCCGATGGCAGAGGCTGGCGATGAGGATACAGGCTCGTCGCCGATGGCATGCTCACGGCCAGCTCATGAAGTACAGCAAAAACGGGTGCCCGAAGAAGTTCAGCCCTCCGACAGGCTTCGGACGTCATGTGGGGCAATGGGCCTGGCCGGAGATAAGCTACGAGTGGTAGAGCAGCTACCCCAACGAGTGCAGCATCGAGCACTACAGGCAGCCACCAGGATCGACAAAGAGGGTACCCAGCAGCTCGCTAACCTGTCTCGCCAGAACCGCACCGACTTGTTGGAGATCTGCGCACCGCCAGACAGCACTCTCTGCACTCCGGTCGAGGCCATGGGAGGCTCAGTCACCCGCATGAGCCTGTTCAACATGCATGACTTAAGCAAGAAGGCTCCTGTGGAGAAGGCGAAGGAGAGCATCAAGAAGGAGAGGCCTCGTCGAGCACATGCGTCCCCACCGTGTACACCGTTTTCAGCCCTACAAAATGAAGGTCCAACACAGTTGAACCACAAGAGCGACTGGTCGAATTGAGTAAGTGGGGAATAAGAGTGCTGCGAAATGTCCTGGACGTGCTGCTGTACGCCTGGAAGGAGTTCGGCACGGAGATCTCCATAGAGCATCCTCTGACCACGAGCTCGTGGAGGAGCATCCCAAAGCTGTTTGACCTGTGGCAGCAGCTCCACGAGTCCGTCAGCTACGGCTGCGGATGTGGCATGAAGAGCACGATCACCAGAGAGCTCGTGAGAAAGGGCTGCAGGATCATCATCACCAACCTTGAACACACATCTTCATCCCATCCAGGGCTGATCGAGGCCAGTGGGAAGCTTTGGCTTTCTCAGAGGGGGAGGGGGAGGGGGAGGGGGAGGGGGAGGCGGAGGGGGAGGAGAAGGCACAAGGGTAACAAGCGCTAGGCTTAATAGAAGTGGGGATTTTTTTCAAGGCAGCATCCACACACGCTGCTCGAGGAGGAGGGAGAGGAGGAGGAGGAGAGGGAGGAGGAGAAGGAGGAGGAGGAGGAGGGGGAGGAGAAGGAGGGGGAGGAAGAGAATCAGAAGGAAAGCCAGGGAGAGGAGGAAGAGGAGGAGGAGAAGGAGGAGGGAGAAAGGGAAGGGAGGGAGGAGGAGGAGGAGGAGGAGAAAGAGGGCCAAGAGGATGGAGGGCGAGGGCCAGGAGTGCGCAGGGAGAGGAGGGGGAGGACGAGAGGAGCAGGAACGGGAGAGAGCGAACACCAGGAAGAGGCCATCCCGCCTCCGCGCGAGCCGAGCCGCGGCGCGCGCGCCGCGACGCCGGGGCGGCCAGCGCCCGCCGCTCGCGCGCAAGCGGCGGAGGCGGCAGGGGCAACGGCGACGGAGACGGA